CAGGGGATCAATTAAGGTTTTGTAATTTCTTCATATTGATTAACACATATTAACGGCCTGTAAATTAAAGGGTTACCACATTGATTAGTGCTGTTTTAAAGGTCAAATCCTGATATTGCTAAAATGAAATATGAAATCAAAGCTTTATCGTCACTGAAGAATATAATCAAATGAGACCAGAGCCGAGAGCCGCTGCGTCCGTGCGCCACCATCTTGTTTTTCAGAGAAGAAATAAGCACAGACAGATAAATTACTGTATTTATATTTATTTGAAAACAACAATCCATTTTTTCCACTTCTACTGCGATTCCTTGTCGACTGGGGTCATACATGATATTTGTATTAATTCCACGGAACACCATCACAAAAGTTACCCTTTTATATGCACATTTACCTTTTTTTTGTCCTTTTTTTGTATTGTATTGTCGTCATTTCTATACAATGACTTGTGCTTTGATATTCTTGAAAGAGAGAAACAGACTTTTTTTTAAAGACATCGTTGCCGTCATGATAAGTGTATATAACAGAGGGAGGATCCAAATAGAAAAAAGTGGTAAGAATAAGAGGATATACTGGTCGAGTACACACCGATACAGAATACAGAGATACACACTCACATTGCACCTGCCCGACTCCACCAGGACTGTGAAGAGAGAATCACCACATCCCCTCCTCCTCCTCATCGCTCCCTTCTTCTCCTGGTTCTAGGATGGTTGTTAAGTACAACTGGTGTTGCCTTGCAACAAATACACTCCCTGCTGGTGAGCAGAGCTCTGGAGAAATATTGCTTAGCTACAAAATGAAATGAAGGAGCGGAGGAGGGAAAACGCAGAAAGACCCAAATGACTGTGAAATGAATTGTTCAGGGTTCAGAACAATTCACTTTCATTTTCAATGAAAGTTTGCTGCAAAATAAAAAAGATCAGCTCGTGTTTAGAAATATAAGGTGCATTTGTCAGAGAGTTTACTGAACGTGTTTGTCTCCAGAAATGAAGTGTTCGGACACGATGAGAAAAAGAAACGTGGGGTTCGACTGGATACTGGAATGTTTCCCCCTTTTAAAGAAACTGTTTTCATTCAAGCAAAAGTCCTGTGACGGAGATTAGAGCCGTTCAGCGGCTGGTGTCGAGGCAGGAGGGTTAGAGGGAGTGAGAAGAGGAATAAAAGGAGGAGGAGGAGGAGGAGAGCAGAATGCCACGGTGCAAGAAGGCATGTTCGTTCACTTAATGCTGAGTCTGTGCCTCGCAAATAAAAAAGAAACAGAAGAAATAATACCACGAAAAAAAACAAAAAAACAAAAAGAAATCACAACCAGGGACGAGAAGAGAGCAGCAGAGAAAATGTACAAGCTCATAAATACATAACCTTAATGTGAATGTCATTCTATATGATAAGTGCAGGGAGAGATAGATTCTATATGTTGTATGTATTCATATGCTGGGTAAATATTCATCTTACTTCTATGTGTATATACCTCCAAGCAGAGGGTGCTCACTTAGACGTATATAAATAGGTCTAACATATAAAGCCATATTACAGTGTATATATATATATCCTCGCCCTAATTTCAGCGATAGCAAAAAACCCATGCTTTACATAGAAAAAGGCATCCACGACATTTAAGAAAAAATTTACAATTTATGAAACATGGTAACAATAATAAATAGTATTATATAGAATTGCCGCTGTACACAAAAAAAGCCATTTTTTTAAAATTTCACTCATATAAAAATATGTTTTAGTGCAACCGTACGTAATAGTAATATCCATAACTTCACATCGCTTGTCCAGACTTTTTAAGGTGTCCAAAAAGAGAGGGAGAGAGGGACAGAGGAGGAGGAGGAGGGAGGAGGTGGAGGGAGGAGTTTGCATTATTACAAAGCTGATATTATTGTATTTACATTTACCTTCCTGCTTCGTTTGCTTATCAGAATATAAGCAAAAAAAAAAAAAAGGTTGAAAGAAAAGGCACACACGTAGCCGTCCAATCTTTTGTTTCTGACGTACCGTTTTTTTAACCCGACTCCTTTCTTATCTTTTATTTTTTATCTCGTAGAGCTCATGTTGTTTCCGTACATGTGTAACCGTTTGCAAATCCTCTTTAAATAAGAAAGTGTCAGATAGCAGGCCCCGGTTAGAACAGACATGTGAACAGCATGCTGCAGAAGTTCATCCATGTTCTTTGTATGTATCTGAGAGAGAGAGAGAGTGTGTGTGTGTGTGTTGAATTAGAACAAATGTGTGTGTAAAGTGTGTAAAGGTCATTTTCTCTCTCTGTTGCACTTCATCCCTTCCTATTATCCAAAAACAAAAAAAGAAATCCACAGCTCCTCCTCCTCTCCTTCTTCCTCTGCAGGTCTACGACACGTCTTTGCTCCTCTTTGTGCTTTCGACCTCTCCATCTCGCTCCAGCCTCGGAGGTTTGGACGCCGCCGAAGGCTGGAGGGCGTCGGCCGCAGGGCTGTGAGGGTGAGGAGAGGAGGTGGAGGAGTGAGGGGAGGAAGGGACTGAGGGGTGGGGAGGCCTGAGCTCCAGGCCGCTAAAGTGCTGAATCCCAGGAGGAGATGGCGAGTGGTGAGGAGACGGCGGCGACATGGAGACGGAGGGCGAGCGGCGCTGCTGATGCTGAGAGTCGGGGGACGACGCAGAAGGGGAGGAGGAAGAGGGAGGAGCCCTCCCTCTATCTTTACCTTCATCCACCTTCAGTCCTCTCTCCGCAGGCTCCTCGGAGTCGATACAGAGTGACGCGATGGCGTTGGTGCACGTCCGGATGCCCTCCTCCTGCTCCTGCCTCACTCCCCCGCCGCCCCTCTCTTGCGAGGACGGGTGAGGTGACGACGCCTCTCTTACCCACTCTCCTCCTTCCTTCTCGACAAAGGAGGTGAAATGTGGGGGAGCAGCCTCGCTGGTGGTGGAGTCCTCTGAGGTGCTCATCTGCAGCATCAGGCGCGGTGCACCCTGCTGAGCGAGAGGGGTGGTGACGGACGTGTGGACGGAGTGTACCATCTGGATCCCACCGATGGGGATCATCGGGTAGGGCGAACGCACCTGGAATCAAAATTAAAAAGTTACATGATTGAAACTAAAAAGAATCACTCACACACACACACACACACACACAATATAAATAAGATGTGAATGAAGTAACCTGGAGTTGAGAATGAAGAGGGAGGTGACTGAACAGGACTTGGTGAGGTGGGCTGGACTGGTTGCCATGGTTACTGGCCTGGCGCTGTTCCCCTGGCGATGGCGAGTCTGGACGATGTTCCTGGAAACACAAGAGGAGAAATAAACTGATGAAGCACATTTGATTTAATAATAAGTTAATTCTTCCACAAAAAAACTTTGAACAAAACTCAGATTGACTTTGTAAATCTGACGTTGACATTCAAACAATAATTACACAAACTCGTTTTGATAAAAAACGGTATTTTTGGCTTTGTGATAAAAAATATCATAAAAATGAGTCTCGATGAACAAAAGCAGAAATGTGTGGTCGAAGGTGTCGGGAGAAAAATAAACAAAAAGAACGAAGCCTCAGTCGAACTTTTTGAGTCAGAGAAAAGGTTTTTAAAACATGAATTTATTATTTGAAGAGCAGACGATAATCAGTTGTTTAAAGTCGGGAGCAGCAGCAGGAGCCAGAGTTTGAAGTGGAGCTCTTAAGAAGAAAAACAGCCGCGTTATTAACCACACCACCGCCGGCCAAGATCCCATTACCACCAGAACCCAGCAGCCCCATCTTCAATCATCCCTTCGCTCTGACGCTCTATCTCGCTCTGACTCGTTCTTTATTCCCTCATCCTCCCTGAATGTTTCTGCTCCGTCTGCCAAACGCTTTTCTTCTCCCCACTTTGTCCGTCGGTTTCTTTCTTTCCGTCATCATTTTTAAATTTTCTGCATCGGCGCTACTACTTAATGTCACAAAGTTTAGAGGATCACAGCTAAGAACTGAACATTAACGAAGAACATTTGATATTTTGATATTTAATTCTCTGTCGTTCTTTTCTAAAGAAAAAAAATACACATCAATTATGGTAAAATAAAATAAAGGGATGAATAACAAGAACAGAGAAGAGAAAGATGATAGAAATGGAAAGAAAGAAAATCAAACGAGTGAACTGATTCTTACCGTCTCCATTTCTGCGCTGGTTCTGCGACGTCCCAGAGAAACGAAGTCTCCCTGACCCAACGTCCTCAGACTCCTCGCTCCGCTCTGCTGGCTGCTCAAAGACACAACGAGTCTGTTTGATCATCTGCTAAACTTTACAGGAATTAAATAGAATCATAGATATTTACAGAAATACTGCAGCCGCCATTTTAAATAAAAACAACAAAACAGATTGAAGGGGTTCAAAGTACAGAGGAGAGGTCTTTGGTGCAGATTAACAGTATTTATTCAGTCGGTCAGGTCGTCCTCACCTTTGCGGGTGAAGGTGTTGGTGGAGTCCTCTGCGAGGGGACAGAGGCCGGAGCACCCCCCTGTGGCGGCCACGTGGTGAAAGGTCACGCTTAAAGTCTCTTCCTGCCGGGGACGTGGGTCGAGACAGAGGGGAGAGCAGCGAGAGGTGTCCCCTCCTGGGGGACAGGTCTCTCCGGTATCCACCCGCCGCCCCCAGGTCTCTCTTGGGGGAGATGTGTCGCAGAGGGGAGACGTCCCGCCGGGGTGAGAGGTGTCTGGCACGGGGCGAGAGGTCGCGACGTGGGGAGAGGTACCGGCGGGCTGAGGGCGAGGAGGACGGGGAAATGGGGGACGGGCAGCCGGAGTGGTCCAGCCCGGGTGAGGACAGGCGGGAGGAGGGGGAGGAGAGGTCAGGGGAGGGGAAGGACAAGTCTTCATCCATCGAGGAGGAGGGTGGAACCAGCAGCCTGCTCCCCAGCGTCCTCTGCAGGCTGCGCTGGTACTCGTGACCAAACTCCCTCGCTGCCGGGTCGCTGGGCGGAGCCTGTGATGTGATCTGGATGCTCGGCACGGTGGTGAAGTAGCCGAACAGCGGCGGCTTGTTGGTGTTTCCCAGGAGGTCGGACGTGTGATGAGACAGATGAGGAGATGGGTGGGAGGCGGCCACGGCTGTGACGGACAGGGCGGGGAGGCTGTACGGCTGCGGGCTGGTGGAGCGTGAACGAGTCTTTGGAGTGGAGTCGCCGTCGTAGTCGTCCTCTTCGTCGTCTTCATCGTCCACCTCATCGCCATCCTCCTCGCCGCCGTCTGAGTCATCAGCATCCGAGAACTGGTGGTCCGCCATCGCCCCTCTGGAAATCTTCTCTGACCTCTGACCTTCGTCTCCGCCATCTACGAGAGGACGAGGAGGGAAAGAGAGGAGGAGGAGGAGGAGGAGGAGGAGACAAAGGGAAGAGGAGGGAAATAAAAAGTGATGGATGAGCAAAAAGACGAGGGGGAAAAGAATGTTGAGGAATTTGAAGTGGCAGAGAGGAGGAAAAGAAAGGCAGGGAGAAAAGAAAGATAAAATAAACAGAAACAGAAAAAAGAGAGGAAGAGGGAATGTGATGAATGAAGGAAAAGAAATAGGAGACAGCCAAAAGGAGAAGAGAAGGAAGGGAAAATGAAAAATAAGAGAAAACATGAGCGAGAAAGAAAAAGAAGTTTAGACGTGAAATAAAACCACATTTTCTCTCCAGCTCCAAACAATAAAAAGTAAAAGACAATAAAGCTGCAGCCAAACGTTTGTGTTGGCAGAAGAACAGCGTCACTTTATTCTGAAATAAAATAAAGCTGCTCGTCTGAAAACTGAGGAACAACAAAAAAAACCCATTTGTTTGTTTGTTGCCTCCGAACAGAAAGAGTCAAAGGAACAAACTGATCCAGACCCGAGGATTCATCTGGGAACTCAAAGCTTCACGGTTCTTTTCAAACTTATTTACTTTTGATTTTATTTTCTATTTCTCCTCCAGCCGCCACTGACAACTGTTCACGCCTCAGGAGCTTCGCACCAAATGAAATCTGGAAAGAAGCCAAACGACTTCATTTGTCTTCAGAGTCTGTTCGGTAGTCGAGTTTGTATGAATTTATTATTTGTGAATATTTCATGGGAAATCCCGTTCATCCCTCTCAGCCCACAACATCTTCCCCAGCAATCATTCTCAGATTATTTCCATATCAGCTGATTAATGGGATCCTGGAGTCCGCGAGCCTCCCGCTGCGTCTGAGGCGATGAGCGATGAATATTCCTCTCGTCTCTTGATGGAAAATAAAATTGTGGCTTCACAAATTGTTCCTTGGAGATCATGGAAATATTTTAATGCTGAATAATGAGAGAGAGTGATGCTTTGATTTATTAATTTTTTTAAAGCTTCTTATGTGTCGAGCGTTTGACACAAGAGTTGTCAGGATGAGCTCTGCTTTCCATTTCACTTCCTGTCCCCGTACGACCGCACTGAGCCTGGAGGCTGCAGCTCCCGGAGTGTGTGTGTGTGTGTGTGTGTGTGTGTGTGTGTGTGTGAGAGAGTGTGTGTGTGTGTGTGTTTTATTTACCTCCATCGTCCACCTCTGTGTCCTCAACCGACGACATTGAGACTCCCAACTCCAGACACTTTTTCATATGAGCCTTTGACTTCATGTGCTTCGTCAGGTTTCCTACAAAACACACACACACACACACACACACACTTTAATGACTCTTGAGTGATGACTCTTACTGGAGAGACGACAGAGGGTGAGATGGAACTTTTGAAAAAAACAAATCACATATAATTTCTTCATGATGTGATTTAATGACTCAACCTGGTCTGAACTTCTGAAAAGTCGCTGCTCGTCAGATAACGGCTTTTTAATAACGATCAGATATCAGCGCGTCGGCATCGTCAGCCTCCGGTCCGACCACCACGAGCTCTCTGCATGTTTTATTCACTTACTTTTATATTTCTGGATTTTATTCTTCAATTAAAACCTCGATAATGAGTTTTTTCTACTAAAAATAGCTTCGTAAAGATGCTATTCCTCAAGAACCTGATTAGTCTTGTTCAAAAGAACGTTTCAGGGCAAATTTATGCGATGATGGATCATTTTAATTTCCTGAGGGGAATGTAAAACTCATGTTGAGACACGGTACTGGGCATGGGCCGGGGACTGCAGCCCTACCTTTTGTCTTGAAGGCGAAGTTGCAGAACTTGCAGACATACGGCCGGACGTCGGTGTGCGTTCGGATGTGTTTCTTCAACATGCTCGGCTTCTTGCAGCGGATACCACATTCCTCGCAGATGTACTTCCCTCGGCCGCGACCACGAACGTAAACATAGTCCTCGTTGGATTTGTAGCTGGAAGAAAGAACAGAGGACACTAAGTTTTTTAAATGTCTGTTTGATTGTCAGCAGAATTGCACAAAAACTACCACACAGGTTTACACAGAATTTGGTGAAAGGATGAAACATGGTGCAAGAAAGAATCTGTTAAATTTCGGGTTTGATTCCAGGAATTCTAATAACACATTTTAGAATTTACACCGTCCATTGTCCTTGAGTTTAGTCACAAAAAGTAAATATGTCCACTTTAACGCAAATTTCTAATGTTTTAATTTAAAGAAATAAAGATTAGAAACAGACCAAACTGAATTACAATGGTTTGTTAGTGTGTATATACTCTGGATATGTGTGTGAGTGACGGCAGGAGGGATGGGATGTATGTTGAGGGGTGTTCTTTTAGGTTTGTGTGTGTAAATTGTGAAATTCGATAAAAAAAACTTTGAAAGAAAGAAAAAGACCGAACTAAAATTAACCGAGTTCTGTTTCTTTATCTTTATTATTCGTTTCCCTTCATTATTATTGACGACTGGAAAGAGATTTAATTGTCTGAGTCTAATACAGTCGGCAGCTCCGCTCCAGCAGTTGGGAGTCATTTCATTTCACCAGATTTTATTCTCTCCCTAAAGGTGAATAAAAACACAACACATCCTCAGCAGAAGCACCAACACAGAAAATAGACAAGCATCATCATCATCAGCTCAGGTTGCTGATGGAGAAAGAGAGAGAGAGAAGCTATAGATCCTCATCTCTCTCTCTCTCCGCAGAGAGGTCAGAGGTCAGGGTCAGAGGTCAGAGGTCAGCCGCCCTGCAGCTGGTACAGATTCACAGTCATGCTCTGGGACTCAGATACTTGCTGACGCAGAGGTTCTGCTTTAATAAAACTGAAAGCTGGTTTTCTCTCTGCTCGACTGCAGCGAGCGTCAGAGAGAAACGCCGTGAGAAATATCTAACTCAAGAGTTAACTAGCAGCAAGAGAACGCTAAAGGAGGAGAGGAGCAGAGAGGATACGACAGGAAACGCCCTGAGATGAAAGTTGTGCGTCTTTAAAATGCGATGTGACGCTGCTGAAGTTCAGACACGTCGTCGGCTGCAGGATGAGATGAACGAGGGAAGAGAGAGAAACAGATTAAAACGTTTCCTACTGAGAGTCTGAGAGGAAAAAGTCTGTAAAGGAAATGAAACAGTTTTATTACAAGAATATTTTTAGAAATTACATCTCGGAGCTCATGGTAACAATTCAAATAACCAATTCAAATTAGATGCAGGTATTTATTGTATATAAATCTCCCTGAATCTCCGGTGAACACACAGAAGTTCAAATCCTATGTGTGCATCTTATATAAAAATAAATCTATTAATTCTACTTATTGCTGAATAACTCTGAATAACTGTCTTTAGTTTTCTTTATTTCTACTCTGTGTTTATCCTTCTTGTCTAAAATAAGAAAGAAAGTCTTCCTTCCATTCCCACTTTTTATTTTACAGGACTTTAAAAACTAAAATTCACCGTCAGACATGATTTTCTTTCCCAAATGAAGCTTGAAGTGAAACTGCGTCTGAACGAGTCTGTCTGTCGTGGAGCGAAGTTACCACCGGTCAGATCCTGCTTCATCTTCTCTGTTCTCCGCCACAGAAGCTTCACTTTTCTTTTTAAACGCATAGAAAAAAAAGGGATATTTCCTTTGTGGTGAAATGGTGAAAACGGCTGGTGAATTGTGTCGTTTCCTGTCCTGTCTGCAGCGGCTGGAGGAGAGTGTCTGTAATGGCGAGGTCGGGCCTCGTGTGTTATAGGAGGTGGAATATCAGGTACATCAAACGAGCCGTCTGCACCAGCGAGGGGAAACTTGTGTTTCAGCTGCGCAGCCGAGTGGGAAATGCCTCTGAACCAGTCGAGACGTTTACACAGCTGCGACCAGTTATGAAAATGAATTATGATGATGATCATTTTGTTTTATTCCGTTTTGTTCACAGCACACGGTAAAATCATGAAGCAGATTCGCTTACCGATACTTTCAAGGCCGGTAATGGATTTGGTTTCTCTGCCAATACTTGTACTTTATGGATTTCTGTCATCTGAAGAGGTTTCAATCCTGCTGTGTGTTTTTTAATGAGCTTTAGTGTGTGTGTGTGTGTGTGTGTGTTTATTACTGATGTGCATCATGTTTATGTAAGTGTGTGTTTTCCTGTTTGTATGCTTTTATCCACTTATTGCTTCTAAAATGTCCTTCGGGGACAAAAGTGAATTACTTCACTGTCTGCTGCATTTAATAACGCCCTGTGTGTGTGTGTGTGTGTGTGCACCGTCTGTTCCATTCAGTAGCCTTGCTCTCACTGGCTCAACTGTAAGACTATAAAACATTACGATGCAGGAGGAATCTCTCACTATGGAGGTTTGTTTATTTTATTTGACCATATAATGAACATTTAAGGACAAAATATGTGTGACTTTAATCAAATCACAGTTAATATTCAGGTTGCCCTGAAACGTTTCATGCTCTGATGTTATGATTATTAGTATTAATGCTTGATGCACAGTCCAATGACGGAGTCGACGAGGAGCTAACAAGAGGACGTTGACAAAATATTCCAATAATCAAATCACCACAATCTGAGAAATAAAGAATAATATTGAATGATCTAACCGTATAAAGAAGTCTTTTTGTCCTGCACCACAGTAAATCAACTATATACTAATATAAATAATAATGAGATGATCCTCAGACTCATCAGTCATAAAGCAAGTTAAAGGTTAAATTGAAGTTATGGACCGAAACTTTAAAAAAAAAAAAAAAGAGGTACATAAAATAAAAACCAAGTCCAACGCCTCCGTCCCTCTTTAAACATTAGAGAAACAGTGTGAACAAGCTTTTAAATGCAACTAATTAGGGACAGATCCACTTCACACATGTCTATAAATTGAGAGAAGAATAAACGTCCAATTACAGCGCAGCTCAAGTCGTCAGCCTGCAATGGGTCTACCAGCCTCAGACTCTTGGCACATTCTGATTAATCGTCATTAAAACAGATGTCGTAAAACTTCGTATGCAGGTCACGGACGTTCGTTTTTATTTTGTCTGGCTGTTCGGATTAAGAAAGGGACTGAAAAGTTGTGTATGTTGTGAGTCGGAGTCGGAGCAGCAGCTTTAAAGGTCCAGTGTGAAAGATTTAGGTGAAAGGATCTATTGGCAGAAATTTAATGTAGAATAATCCTCATGATGTTTTCACTAATTCGTTTCATCTAAATTGTATGAATTGTAGTTTTCTTTATCCCAGAAAAGATTCTTTATATTTACATGGAGGGGACCCTCTCTACGGAGGCCACCATGTTTTTTACATTAGTCCAGGCTGGACAAACTAAACATCGTCAAACTAACATGTTTTGGAAGGAGAGGGTGAGGTGAGGGGTGTTCAGCTGCAACATGCAATTTCACCACTAGATGTCACAACATTCTACATACCGTACCTTTAAGTTCTGGTAGCTCAGGTTCTGATCTAGCGTCAAGTTGATTTCATTGTGATTTATTTCTGTCCTTGTTATAAACTGGCTTTCTCTGCCTATCACTATTTAAATGTTTTCCTCTTGTTTTATTGTTAAATTCTTAATTCTCCCTCGTGAAGCATCTCGTTAATCTGCAGCGATGAGTTCTAGATAAAAATCTTTCAATAAAAGATGAAACTGAAGCTACTAAAAATAAGGAGGAGTGAAAACTTCTCTCGATGCTGAACTGGTTGTCTGATTCAGATATTACTTTCATCATGGAGCTGATTGATTGACTCAGTAAAGTACCTGTAAGGTTTAGAATCAGATATCTGGCTTTCTCAGTTTCACCTTGTAATCGTAACAATGTCAGATTTCAATCACTGTCAAAATCTGACCAGTTAAAAAAAGTCTTTTTCCGTGCACCAGATGTCACTGAAGCTCCTTTTAAGACATGGTGCTGACACCATACGAGAGAAAACTATTAAAACTAGAATGTCACTTTAACCTCCATCAAGGACCAATAGTCCTATAAATTCAATCCAGCTGCACACACTCATAGATATTAGTTTCCTAAACATGCGTTAGTATTTTTCATCAAGATCCATGAATGATTTTCTGAGAAAATGTCCAGGGTTCTTCTCTGACCCACACCACAACCTTCCACCTCCAGGTTCATGGTAATTGATCCGGTAGTTTTTGTGTGATCTTGCTTACAAACCAACAAGCAAAGGGACCGGGGGGGAAAACATAACTTCCATTTGTTTGGAATTAACGGGGACAGTCTTTGACCTGGATAACCGCGATTTAGCATTTGAACTCAAATAAAAGTTTCCGAAATTGAACGTACCCTCCTTCGAAGATCTTGATCCGGGAGGGTTCGGTGGCGGACTGTTTGGCTGAGACCTCCTTCTCCACCTGCTCCTCCTTCGAACGGTCCCACGACACCACTCCCTTCATCTTCCTCCCAAAGTTACAGACATCAACAGGCATCAGCTCTGGTTTCAACTGCAGAGACGGGAGAGGGAAAAGAAAAAGGAGGGAGAGGAGTAGAAAGGTAAAGATTCTTTCTCACTTGTGTGTCTCTGTGTTGCTTTCTCTAAATTTCTATTTACCTGATCAAACCTCAGCTTCCAGGCCACAGACGACACCAGCTTTCCAGAGCTGGGTGGAGACATGGCTGATGTTGTGTAAACCAAATCTGTGTTCCTCCTCTGTTTGGACCTCAGCAGGGCCAGTGCAGCCTTGGTGCTGAGATTTAGAGGATTGGGATTGTACGAGTTCACACACCATGAACTGTAGACAGATCCTCGCAAAGCAGCCTGGGTGCTGTTGGGTTTGGTGTATTTCAGGAAACACCAGCTAACTCTGCTCATAGTGCGCAGACTAGGGAACTGGAAATACTGCTGCACATCAGCCATGTCTGTGAGTAGCAGCGTCTGGCCCGCTGTTCCAGATAATCCTGCACTTTGGTTAGAAGCGAGCTGAACCAGCACGCTGACAGGTGTTTTACTGGATGCACATGGCTTTGTGTTGTCACTATCTTCTGCATCATTTGAGGAGCCCATAGACTGTGGACTAGAGTTGGGCTCTGGAGCTGAATCATCCACATCAAGTTCCTCTGGGGAGTCACGGCCACCTGATCGGTCTGTGACAATCTGGAGAGGAGGGGTGAAGCTCTCGGCTCGGGGTACATCAGGGAGGTGGGGGGCAGAGGAACGGACGGGAATGGCAATCTTTGTGGCAAAAGGGTAGTCGCTCGGTGGGGAAGAAGACATCCTTTCAGAGTCATCCATGGAGCCATCACTCTTCAGATGGGCTCGGCGACCTCCGGTCTGCCCTTTATCGGTAGTGCTGTTTTCAGTTCCACTTAGCTCCACAGCGCTCATCTCCTTTACAATCTGTCCATACATCCTCTCCTCCTTCACTCTTTTCTGCTGCTTAGTCTCAATGAAGAGCTCCAGAGAGCTGGTAGGGGAGAGCATGCGCTTGCTGCCGCCAATGCCTGACCCTGAGGCGTCTGTGGTTGAAATGGTGCCTGATGTTAGCGACAGTGGTATCCCTGTGTTTAGCCGTTGCTCCGGCAGAGAATCTGGAATCTTCCAGGGAGGGTAGCGCAGCGCTGAGCCTTCCGTCTTTCCCATGAAGTGTGACAGGTTGAAACCTCCTCCAATTCCTCCTGGTGGTTTGCCGGTGCTCGCAACACCAACCGGGGGAGACATGCTGCAGTTGTCAGCACCGCCTGGACTGGTAGCTACCAGCTGACTAACACTTGTGTACATAACACTACCAAATGATGGCACATGGGTTTGGATCCGTACAGGAACCAGCATACCAGGCAGCGAGCCCTGTGATCCCAAGTTCTGGGTTGCAAAAACAGGTTGGATCTGCTGCAGAAGCATGGAGGTGGTGGTGGTGCTGGGCAGAGAGAACTTAGAGGAGAGCAAGCCAAGGTTTTGCTGTTGCTGGGACAGAGGAGAGTTTCGGGATGAGAAAGAGGCAGGGTACATTTGAGAGCTGTCATTTTCGGATTTTCCATCATGTGACTGTTGATCATGGATTTGCTGCTGGGAGTGGAGTGGTGCGTGTTTGTGTTGTGGGTGTCCAGCGAGGCTGCCTGGTGATCTGAGGTGGAGTTTTTGGAGTTGCTGCTGGGCCGGCTGCTGTCTGGGCATCTGTCCGGCCTCCTGAGTCCAGTAGAGACCTGGTTGCTGGAAAGAGAGGAAGGGGGGGCCACTCTGATACTGCTGCATCACTTCTTTGTTCATGACCTCATGACCTGGATGTTCTCCTTCAGATGACGAGCCCTGGGCATGAAGACGGTGCTGTTGGGACCTTTAAGGAAGAAAAGGTGGAATATTCTTAGTATTATACTAAATGTAGCTAACAACATTGTACTAATTGAACCAGGAGATTATATAGTCCAGGGAATTGTTGAAATGGTTGTTGAATTTTGTTAATTCTTCCACAGCTCAACAGGCAATTAGTAATTTAGCATTGCATAGGAAAACCCAGACTTTCTTACCTGCCATACAGTGGTTCATCCTGTAGACTGTCCTCACTGATACTCTGATGGAGGAGATGCTGGTGGTGTTGATGAGATCCTATACATGTAAATAAAACATATTAATGGGAAAATTAGATTTTAGTTTTTTAAATAATCAGATACAATAGATAATGAGAAATGAAACCTTACCACCAGTGCTACTGCCAACTCTCTTGGTCCTGTTGGCTACATCAGTGCTGCTGTGGGGGGATCCTGTTGGTCCAGACCAAGCCCCATGTTCCAAACTCTCCTGCTTGATTGACATCTCTGTGCCCCCTGGCTCATGAGCGACTGACTCTGGATAAACACTCAGTGACGCCTGTCAAATGTGGGTGTAAAAAGTAGTATGTCAGTTGTGAAATAAAATGTTATGATACTAAGTGTGTAAGACAAAGAACGTGCGGTCAGGATGTCACATTGATATTATTATTAATATTATTATTATATAGGAGGTATGGATGCAAAAGGTGGAGTTGCTAAGAAATTAGAGTATAGAGGCCAGACTCCACCTTGTCCTTTATGCTCATATTTAAGAACAATAATCCATACAGCATGAAACGTTTTTATGCTACCTGTCGGACAAGATATCCACGTCGTCGTTCCTTCATTGCAGAGGCACTGGAGTAAAGTTCTCCCTGTCTGGAGGACGACAAGCTTCCATAGTCAAAGGACTTGCTACGCATTTCAGGCAACTCCGTGGGCAGTGTGCATGGTGCCTGCTCTGATGAAGACCTCCTCATCTCTCTCTGCTGGTGGTGGCTGGAATGACCACTGCCGGGTACTGTCAGGAACTCAGACTGCTTAGCTCCGCCACTGCAGGCCAACGATTCATCCTGGTTCACAAAATTGCAAAGAAAAAAATTAAGAATTCCTCCCATTTTCTTTGGCCTATTTGGAGAATGCTGTCTTTTACAAGTGCCATATAACAACATAGTGATGGAATCATCGAGTCTTTACAAGTACGTAAAAGTAATCATAATGAACCACAACCATGGTGGGACCAGTGCAAGGAAAGTTTGCCAGAAATAAACTGTACTAAAACTGCTGGTAAGGCAGTTCAAATACTATACACATAACAAGTTACCTGTTTGATGGGTGAGACAGACTTGAGGCCTTCATCTCTGTCAAAGGACATGGAGAAGGAAGAGGAGTGGGATAGGTTGCTCTCCTGACTGGGGCTGCGAGAAAGGCTGGTGCAAGTTGACTCAAAGCTCGATTCCCCAGATGAGTGCTCCATGTCCGTCAGACGCAGCCGCTTCTTCTTGGGTGGGAGCTTTTCTGAGGGCATCTGGGAGAGCGTGTCACTCCTCTGTGGCAGCTGAAACTCCTCAACATGTTGGGGCTGCTTATCTGGCTCCTTGGTTATTGGAGCTTCTGTGTCTTTCTCAGGTTTGTCTGGCTCCTCTGTCACCCTGATCTCAGGAACTTGGATGTTGGGTTGTCTGACTAGTTTGTGTGGGATGTGATAAGGCTGACCAGGGGAGGCTGCAGCTGATGATGATGAAAGGGAGGCCAGGTCACTGTCACTTTGCAGCTGCTGCTCCATGCTCTCTGCCAGTAGGGCAGATTCAGGACTGAGAGCATCTTCAAAAATCTCTGTGTCCGACTGCTCAGAGTACTGGCTCGGTGGACCTTTCTCTGAAGTCTGATATCCTGGATGCTCAAAGGACTCCGACTTCTCAAAGGAATTTGGCCGGCTGAGGGAGTTGGTGTGTTGGATGACTGATATGACATTCCCAGCTGCCTTCCTGCACTCAGAGTCAGTAAACAATGCAATGTCCTCAGAGCACATGCTGGCACAGGTATCAAAGCTATCCGATTGGCTGTGAGCACTGAGAGAGCCCTTCCCTAGTGGAGTGGCTCTCGACCCATCAAAACTACTTTGCTTAAACTCATAGTCCCCTATCATCTCCACTGAACCACTACAGCTACTGTCACAATGTCCAGGGCTGTCCTCCTCATCGCCAACACTTGTCTCTTTCCTCCTTTTTCTTGTGGCTATTTCTGACATGCTAACTTTAGTACCATATGGGCTATAGGCAATGTGCTCTGGGACTCCTGGGCTGCGCTCACCAATCTTAATACCTAGAGATGAAGCTAAATTCTTGGGCATGTGTCCATAGCCCTCAGCCTCTCCTACATGGGCTTCAGCAGCTGAATGTTCAAAAGCAGCCTGTCTTCTGAGTCTGCGAAGCCCTTGAGGGTAAAACACATCATCTGATGACATCATCTCATCAAAGGAGTGGCTGCCCCGAATACCTGGTGGGACACTGAGGTTGGGCGGGGAAGAAGTTGGCATAGAGTTACTCCTTATTAGGGGCCCAGAATCGGATGGAGGCTCCAATAGGCCTGTGCTGCTTTGACAGGGTCCTGTTGGATACTGCTTGGGATCTCCAGAGATCCCTACATCCCCTCTGAAACAGATATGATCCTCAGCTATCTTCCCCATCTCCAGAATAGCACCAGATTGTTTTAAACTAGCCAGGCTAGCTGGGTCTGCCCCTGCCATGCCTACTGTGATAGACTGTCTGGATCTGGAGTTGGGTCGGTAGTACCAAGTCCGACCAAACATAATCTCTTCGTACGTCTTGACATTAGAATTTGGAGGGCTTATCTGCTGCTCTGCACTCTCAGAGCGGGAAAAGTAGCCAGAGTCTGTGCTGCCTTTGCTGTGAGGACTGAGGAGGTTAAGGGACTGGGACATGGCACACTCAGTGTCCTGGCCTTTTTTCTCAGTCAGCCTCAGGGCCAAACGTTGTTTGATGGTGGGGGAGTCGTCCAGAGAATGCGCTCTTCCGCCAACCTGTGATGCCAACATGTGATGTGACCCCTTGATGTCCTGAAAAGGTGGGCACTCCATGCCTGTGGAAGGGACTCCCCCAGACTTGGGGACAATGAGGATAGGCACTTTAATAGATCCCACAGGCAGCTCTTCAGCCGAGTCTGCATATGCTGGTTCCACACCACCTATGCAGTGAGAGTAAGAGTGGAGCATGATAGAGAATAAAGTAAAAAAATACAAGGTAAAGAATGAGTTAAGCTGAAGTCACAGAGTATTCAGTAATGCAAAGAAAGGTCCATATTGAGCAGTACTGATGCATCAAAAAAAATTGACTGAACATTGATTTCACTCAAGTGAGTGATACTTGCTAGAAATGTGGCTTTATTGATTTTTTCCTAATTTGTGTTGTTGAAATTACCTGTAGTCTTGTCAGCCTCAAAGGAGATCTGAGGGATGGGGCTGTCCTTGTCCATCAGCATGGTGGAGCCCTCCACACATTCCTCGTCAGTGTCGGTACTCTGCTCTCCATCTGAGTGAACCTCGGTCTCACCCACTGGCGAAGCCTGGTCCATGTCCCCACTGCGGGCCACAGCGAGCTCTGAAAATGGTACGAGTCCAGCCTTGATGGCGTGAGCATGGGACTTGCGATGCTTGTAAAGGTTGCTCTTTGTTTTGAAGGAAAAGCCACAGGGTACACATGGATATGGCCTTTCTCCAGTATGTGAGCGGATGTGTTTCTTTAGGACGCTGGGCTTGGCGCAAGCTCGACCACAGTAGTGACATATGTACTTACCAGGCTTTTTCGGCTTTTGCTCTTTTTTGCTGTACCCCTCCTCTCCAGGTTCAGTGCCTGACTGAGAATACTGTCCAAAGGAGCTGGGTAGACTGGGAGATTTCTGTCGGGGAAACCTCCCAGCCCCATGAGGGTGAGTATGTCCCGGATGTCCCACAGGGTATAAGTCATCTGAGGGCAACTGGCCGGCAAATGGCCAGGCATGTGGCTCTAGGCCAGGTTGAGGTTTGGCTCCTGAGAGGAAGCGCTCAGTTTGGGGGTGCTGAGGGTATGGCTGGCCCAACTGGTAGGAGTATCCCCTTGGGAACCCCTGAGCAAAGGGTCCTTGGGGGTCTTGAGATGTTGGGCCTCCTATAGCTCCAACTGCAGAGGGTCCAGATAGCAGCTTTCCAGAATTACCTGTGATTGCGTACTTCTGCTGAGGTGCTGATCCCCCGGTGGCACCACACGGCAAACTCTCACGGTGTTTTGCCTCTGGGTCAGCAAAAGTGCTTCGTTTGGTTGTTGCAGAGGGCTCGGATACCCACTTTCTTTGCAGAGGCACCTTCTCCTTCACTGCTTCCCTATTTGAGGATTTGTGCCCAACGGCAGCTGATTCACGTGCCTCCATTTTTCATGAAGCTCTTCTATGGGTGAGAAGAGGGAGAAGAGAGGGGATGGTGGGGGAGTTGGGAGGGCAGGTTCTGGAGGGTTACCAGTTCCCCAATCTACCAGACATGATAGCTTAACCTGTGAGGGGTGCCGGCAAGTTCACAGAAACAGAAAGGACCCATCCATTGACATAAAAATGGAGCTTTGGTGGCATCAGAAATATTTCTCTCTTTTGGCCATTTTGTGAACCGGCTAATGTTGTGTGCTGAAGGATCCTTGAGTGATCTGGAGAAGATAGAAAGACACATTTGAGGAGTTTTGCAGTGGAAGAGTGTAAATGAAACACAACATCATCAAAGTATAAACACTAACCTTTCTTTAGGTAAAGGTGCTTGTCGATAGTCTTTCTGCTGCTTCATTCACTTTTCAGAGACCTGCAGAAACACAAGAGAGAGATACTTAGTTTTGTTGTCAAAAAAATCACCCGTTCAGAAAATAATCAGGAGATGGCACAGTAAAAGATCTCTTTTTATTTTGAAGTCATTTACAATAACATGATATATTGGAGCACACCACCTCACACGACAACACACCGAGAAGTTGTGTGAATGTAAATGTCTTTGATTGCTCAGTTAGTTCCTTCACACTGGAATCCATCTGCGCTTTTTGCCTTTTCCATCTATTCCTCCTGCCTCTCTCCGTCCCCCCCCTCCTTCCTCCACTCAGTGAGTCACCAATGCAAAGCAAACCCACGCTGTTCCTAAAAAGACACAAAGGCTTATAAATAGTTCTGTGGAAGTGACGTGTGAGTGTCATAATGTGTGTAGGCGTCCAAAAAGGCCAAGTCGAAGTGCAGTCATCACTGCAAGCACCTTTCCTTCCTCTCTGGGTGTCACAGCTCTATATAACTTGGTTTGCACTCCGTCACACACACACACACACTTCATACAGCACCACACACACACACAATAGTTCAAAGCATTTCAACTGCACTGTGAACATGTAGCAGATGCAGTGTATATGTGTGTTTCCATTGTTTAACGTTTCTTTACCACACCAACACCTGAAAGCAAAAGCGCATTCACACACGCACACGCACACCTGCTGAAGTTGCAGTTTTACTTTTGTATTTCCTCATCTCGGGGTTTAAACAACCTCCCTGGCATTCTGATTGCGACACACACACACACAC